CACACTTCCAGATTACATGTGGCTCTCACACATGCACAGACGCGAGGAGATTCATACGCACACTAACGCGCACTCCCTTGGCCTCGGGCAGCCGCGGAGCATCCAGCATTTTAACCCGGCTGACATTAAGCGCTGTTATTTGACACTTTGCTGTCCTGAACGTTTGTTTAACCGCGCTTCATTCTTGCCAGGAAGCCTTTATGGGTGGCTTTGCCGAATGAGAACTGCATCAGTCCCTTGCGGGTTGGCCACGAACCAAAGCTGCAATACTGACAGAGGGAATAAAAGCAAAGAGCAAAGCTTACAGTCAAAGTGACCAAATACTGCTGTCCTAAAGGGCCTGCTTCAAATTCTTAAAGCGCGCGCACCCCACCAAAACAAAATTCAGAGGCCTAATGTTATGTTTGTTGGCCTCGCCATACCATAACTCTCGTGTCTCACGCTAACTACCCCAGAGGCATGATTTTAAAAACAACATTCTGCGGCTGTGTAATTATTTGAAAGCACAGGAGGTTTCTTTAAAAAAAAAAAAAAAAACACTTTCCTTTGCTCACCAACCCCCACGCCCCCTCAACAAGCACACATACAAACAAAAGTAACTGAAGCGTCGTTTCCCCGTTTGCCACCATGGCAAAGGCAGCGGAGGTCACTTAGTGAAATTAGGAAAATGGAACAAACATACATCCTTAGCCATCTATATTTAGCATCTTACTAAGATTAATTTCATAATGGTCTCTATAGTCAGATTAAAATAAGAAGAATTTTTTTAAAAAGTTCAGCTGACCATGTTGTACCATTTTAGGGTACCAAGTGCTCTGGTGATGTTAGCTTTTCATTTCAAAATAAAAGCACACAAACGTGGCTCATCTGTGAAATCAGTCGCTGATGCATCTTCACGCATACTGTGCCATGCTTTCATGTGTGGGATGTTTAAGAATGAGGTCATTTCTAACAAGTAAGTTTCTAAAAAGTGTCTTGATGAATCTGCTCCATGACTGGAACGCGGGCCTGACCTCTGCTTGGCCTTGGCGGAGGTGAAGGCAGAGGAGGAGGAGGAGGGGTGCTGTGAAAGGATGGAGGCCTATTTTGAAATTCTAATAAGGATTGAATAACCATCTGCCCCTTGTCAGTGAGAGAAATGAAAAGGTGGAAAAAGAGATATAAAAAAAAAAAAGCGGCAAATTTGCGCTTCTGTGGTCTTTCAGAGTTTCCAGCTCTGAAAGCTTCATCAGAGTAATGGTTCTGAGCATGTGTTGCTGGCCGGCCTCTTGCTTTGACACCGCTGCTGGATCACACTGCTCTCCCTAAGAAACCCATCTGTCAATGTCCCCCTAATTCCAGCTAATAGTTTCCAAAAAACATAAGCTGAGCCCACAAAAAGCCACAAGCTCCCCGAAAAGCTTGAGAGGGTTTGTGACAAGACTCGCAAAAATCTGTTCGTTCTGCTTCTCCTTCCTCTTCCGCTGTAAAAGTCACATTTTAATAAGACCACTGTTTCATTAGTGAAGCAGACATGATCTAATAGCATCTACGTATTATATAACAGCTAATAACTTTTTTCAGAGGTAATAACTAATTTGTGGGATTTCCTTCAGGTGATGACATGGCCTGAGGTATAACGAGAGTCTACAGTGAAAAGGTCTTTGACTGATTGGTTGTTTAATTTCAAAATTAAACCCTCTTGTGCAGAAAAAAAGAAGAATACCATATCATTCATTCCCTCCGTGGACCCAGTGTGTCAAATTTCCTACTCAAAACATTCAACACCACGCCCAAAGACGTCAGCAGAGCAGAAACACTCGGCTTTCGCTGCTAACCGCAGCTCACCTGCATTTCTGGCAAATCAGACGAAACAGCAGTTCAATCAGTCTTTAAATGACTTCCCTGTTTAATGCATACCAGCGCGCCTGGCTCAACACTGGAAGCAGATCTGGCTCGGTGGGCCACTGGGGAATGGATGGTGTCTGGCCCCGAGCTCGCAGCGTCCCAGCAGTGCTCTGGACTTCCTGCAGGTTGAGTACAAATGAGGGAGAGGAAGGGCTGGAGAATAGAGCAGCTTGTTGTTGCAGCCAAACAGGGCCGAGACGGCTGTGGACACAGCCAAGAGCAGAGAGCTACGAGACCATAAATTATCATCTACTCAGGATGCCACATTGTCGTTGACTCCACAAGAGGGCTCTTCATCTTACGGTGCGACTTTGGCAGATTCAATTTATGGCATGATCTAGTGTCTCATATTTTTAAGTTAACATAAAGTATTTACATTACGAGACCGGCCACGCCAGCAGAAAAGCCCACACTCCATCACAACCATTAACAAAATAGCTCTTATCCATCTGTTTCCTTATTCTCTCCTGTGGCTCGGACGCCGAGCAGATAAATCACAGATTTTTCCATCATGTCTCCCTCAATACAAACAGACACAATCCTTTACGAGGCTGCCCTCTCCGACTACTACAGCAGGGATTTGTAAACCAATGTCTCGAGGCAGGATTCATAGAGAGGGAGGCGGCAGATGGGCGTGTGTGCGCATGGCTTGTGTCTGGAGACGCCATGCGAGTTTGCCAAGAGCACAGACAGAAATCCTGGTGCGGGGCATGTCGAACATTTAGCAAAACCCAAGTTCTGTTGGAGGCGATGTTCACGTTGTGCATGTTAAGATTTAAGTCAAGACCGATAAGACCAAAACCTTGCACAATATTTAAAAGGAACTTGAAAGGGTAAAAAAAAAAAAATAAAAAAAAATCAGCCGAGAGGCACATAATTTCTCAAGAGCCGACTCGGCTTCAGTGGCAGGGTGCAAAACAGCTTTTGATGTGGCTCTAAATCTGCCCACTCTGAATTCCTCATTACCCACAAACCACCTCCCAATCAGCTTAACTCCGTCACCCCTGCACGGAGGATCGTGACCTTTCAGACTCTCCCTCCAAACCCAAACAACCCCAGGACCTCTTATGACACCTAAGGGAGTCCTCCGCTATGTAACTTACCACTCTTACACCCCCCCCCCCATCAGTTTGTGTAACGTCTCAAAAAGAAAAGCAAGCAGAGAAATCGACAAGGCACGGCAGCATTTTCTTTTTCTTAAGGGGCTTTATTTATACACTGAGGAGCCTCTTTAAAAGGCCCTCCTGCTACTTTAAGAATATTTTGGAAGTGGTTCCAGTGGAATAGGCTGTAAAAAAAAAAAGAAAAGAAAAAAAAAAAAGCTTGTGGAACGTGAAATTAGGGACAACTGGGACTGGTTTGTTGGCAAATCAGGATGTGTGATCAGGTATAGCGTGCGACTAGCAAAGACCTTTAACTGCCCTGTATCAACACCGGGATTAGGTCATCGTAGTTGGCCGGTGGAGCCGGGCTGTTTAGGCCAGAACTTCTGGGTAAAAGTGACATATCAATCCCACAGAGATGAGATCTACGGAAAGCGGGCGTAACACTTCACAAACGGCTACGGGACATTTGAAAGAGGGCGTACGCAAAAGTACGAGGGCGAAATCACTCAGGGATTGACAGGATATTGTTACAGAAAGGGGTTAGGTGTATGTGTGCCTGCATCTGTGAGCCGCGAAAGCGAGGGCGTCGAGGAGGAAAAGCCAAAAGTAAGGTTGAAATCTCCCGTGTCAGTTCTAAGTCCAGTCTAAGGCTAGAACGGCCTCGCTTCTCTGGCTCTGTCACTCTCTGTCCCCTTTAAACAGATCTGGCTCTGTTCAATGCTAAATATGAACTCAGGCCAGCTCACAGGGCAATTACAACACGTTAGAAAAATATACTGAGTTTTTCAATGTTCTGCTCCTGTTTCTCCCCCCCCTTCTCTGGCTGTAATTTTATTTCATAAAGGTTAAAGCAGGGACAGTGGTTTCTAATATGGTTTTATTTTGCTACGCTAACACATTTTTATGACAAGCAAAATTGACCAGAATTGAGTTCAACGTAAGTCTATTCACACCAACAGAAGAATGCTGTAAAAAATT